ATTTTAACCTTTAATTACTATTTATATTTGGGTTTGTTTTAGGGTGGATCTATTTTACTAATAACAGGTCCTCCTGGATGTGGAAAAACAACAACTATAAAAATTTTATCAAAGGAACTTAGTATTCAAGTACAAGAGTGGACTAATCCAATTTTAGCAAACTTCCAAAAAGATGAATTCAAGGAGCTATTTAATTCTGGTAAGATTTGCTGTGAAGGTAGGGGAAATAGTGGGAAAAGTCTCTTTGACATAGTGTGAAACACATTTCCTACCTATGTTCTTGCAACTCCTAAGATGCTGTTGGGTAGATGTTTTTGAGGAAGTACTTATTGCCACTTTTATGCTAGATTGGCAGCTGCTAAATAACAACTCATACAAAGTCTGAGTAACTCTCAGATGAGAGATAATTCCATATGAAAATTTTCTTCAATACTTCCCAACTTCAGAGAGACATACCTTCTGGAGAAGAAAAGAAAAAGTGCCACCATGGAGAATTAAATTTTGTTAGATAACAAAATGATACTAAAAATTTTTCTAAGATAAGTATCCTTATTTTCAATTTGAACAGTTTCACCTAATTAGAAAGTATACAGTATTGTAAACTAGTTCATATTTGTGTTTTAATGTATTTTATTTACATGTGTATCAATTGATGTATATGTAATTGGTGAAAATGAAATTATTAAATGTGTTTCTTTACAGAATCTAGCTTCCATCCCTATCAGTCTCAGATAGCAGTCTTTAAAGAGTTTCTATTAAGAGCAACAAAGTATAACAAGCTACAAATGCTTGGAGATGATTTGAGAACTGATAAGAAGATAATTCTGGTTGAAGTAAGAACAATTTTTGGAATCCTGCTATGATTATTGAGTAAACAATTGAAAGATGTAGCTTATGTAATAATAACACTTGCTTATCCCACAGAATTAATAGTGGAAAATATAACATAAAACTAAAGTCTCTTTCAATAAACTTGAATAGCTATAGGCTTATAAACTTTACGTTGAAGTGATTTAAGTATAGAAAAGCAAAAGAAACATTTGAAAAATGACTTAATGAAAATATAAAGACTACAAAAGTGATCTACGAGTCAGAAAAAAAATACAAAAATTGCAGACAAAGTATAGATCTGAGGCATACATAAGACGAGAGGGGGAGGGGAAAGTCAAAACGGGAGTGAGGAACAAGTGACTGGGGTGATATTTCATGGATGATGTAGTGTTGTAAGATTTCTGGGGCTGCATCTGAGGGGAGAAATGGATTAGTGTTAACAAATGAATAACAATGTAAAAAACTAAAAGCTTTTTAGGGCCCTCCCTGGTGGTACAAGGGGTTAAAGCACAGCACTGTGAAGCCTTCTGTGCATGAGCTCAATCAAGCTTGATCCCAGACCAGGGAGGTGACCCACATAGCACAGCAGACCTCTCCTTTCTTGCCCACATGCTGCTCCCCTCAGTAGTATATTTTGGTCAGTCTACCTGTGCTCCCTACTCTATCTCTGGTGAATTCTCTCACTTGTCCCGTACCGCTGACCTATACCTCAGTACTTGTAGGCATAAATAAATCTTTAAAAAACTTTTTTTTTTAAAAGGACCCTAAAATATTTGATCTGAAAATTGGGGTTTGCGTTAATTCATGTTACTGTTCAGGATATGAACTATTTCATGTATTCTTCAATTTCTGTATGTTCTTGTTACAGTGCTTTGGATAGATAACATTTTCCCTATCTTAATAAATTGAAATCTGAAAATTCATATGAGAATAAAACTGAACTAGTATTTATCCTGTGTTTTCAACAGGATTTACCTAACCAATTTTATCGAGATTGTCATTCTTTACATGATGTTCTAAGGTGAGTTTTAATGACATTTTCTAAAACTTCAAGTTAAATGACAAATTACTTAAATTTCAGTATTACTTTGTTTTCTTATCTTAGGACATATGTGCAAATTGGTCGGTGTCCTCTAATTTTTATAATCTCTGACAGTGTTAGTGGAGATAATAGTCAGAGGTTACTGTTTCCCAAAGATATACAAGAAGAATGTGGTATATCAAACATTAGGTAAGAAAAATTTCTGTATAGTCTTCACATATTTGTTATATTTTTAAATTAATCATTAACTATTATCTTTCTTATAAAACTTACAGTTTCAACCCTGTTGCACCAACAATTATGATGAAATTTCTTAACCGAATAGTGACAGTTGAAGCTAATAAGGTAAGTCCTAAGAATCAATTAATTTGAATATTATAATTACAGAAAGCAAGCCTAAATGGTATTGTGTAATTTCAAGATTTGAAGACAGATTGCAGTATTTAGAATTAAAAATTTTTTATTACATTCAGATGATATGCCAGGAAATATATTTTATAAAATATAGAAACTACCAATTTAAATCATCTTTTACCTTATTCTACTATTAAAACTTAACTTTCTCTTTCACAGTGAGGTAAATTTCCCTTTGCTTGGCTTAGTATTCAGATTGCATTTATTGCCAAAGTATTTTCTAGCATCTATGTACATTAGTTATAACTAATACTGTCCTGTTGTCACTTTTTGTTTTAATTTTTTAATTGAGAGTTAAAAAATGCATCATAAATTTATCATCCAGCCATTGTTTCCTAGGTTTGAGATATAATTGACATATAACATCTTATAGTAGTTTGTGATATAGACTTAATACATTCATATTAGAATATGATTAAGACAGTAGCATTAACTTATTGCCTCCTTCATGTTGCATAACTACAGTTTTCTTCCATGGTGAGATCTACTCTCTTAGCAACTTGTATCATGTCCCTAAACAGTTAAGAGTTTCTGAGGAGGAAGAGGAGATACATTTTTCTTACCTTTAACTACCAAGTGTTTGTTATATGAGCTATAAAAACACATACATATATTTGCATGTATATATATTTTAAGTTTACCTACATATCTTTAAATGTATACGTAAGATTTATACATCATAAATATCTATATGAAACATAGACTTTAAATCATTTGCTGTAGTGACTTAAATTACTAACAGGTTAGTAATATGCTGGAAACCCCACTATATGGGATTTTCATGTAAATTGAAGATTTATTCAATTTTTTGTATGCTTAATTTTATCATGCAATACCAGTTTATCATGTAATACCAGTTTGTGTATACATACATGTTTACATATGTGTATATATGTATAGTGAGGTATAACCTCAAAATATAACTTAGTCCAAATAAAAAGGTAAAACAATATGCTATTGAAATGTTATCTGAAACTAGGATAAGTCATTGACACTTTCACCACTCAAAGGCAGACTGGGTAAGTTTTAAGCACCTTTCCTAGGCACCTGGTAGCCTTTTAGCATTCAAATTTGAAAGTCTAGTTGTATGCATTAAGTTTAGAAAATGAGGGAGGAGGTCTTTCTTTTAGAAATAGTGTTTTGGTCTTTTGTTTTGGAAATAGTCATTTTAATTTAAATTTTCTAATTTTAGAATAGAAGTAAAATTATCTTCCCTGATAAAACGTCTTTAGAGTTGCTCTGTCAAGGATGTTCTGGTGATATCAGAAGTGCAATAAACAGCCTCCAGTTTTCTTCATCAAAAGGTAATCATATAAGGTATATTCCTTTATCTAGATGACTTTCTTTCATGAAAATAAATCAAACTAAACTTCTTTTAACTTGTTATTGATATATATACTTATCTCCACTTGAATTTTTATTGAGACAGTGTTGTGTGTACACGTGTGTATGCATGTCATGTGTGTACACATTCAAATTGCATCTCTCTGTGAATATGTCTTGTATTCATATAGCTACTTAAGGCAAAATCTGACTCCTTTATATGGTTTGCTACTTAACCTTTGAAAGTTGATTTGGAGTTAGAGTTCCTAGGTAAAAATCCTGAGTATGCCACTTCCTGGTGATTTATTTTTACAAATGGCTTAAACTCTTTGTGATGCTGTTTTTTACCTTTTATGTGAGATGTTGTCTCATACAGTTGCATGAAGTGTAAGACAATGCAGTGTTGATTCCAGTGCTTGGCACATACTGATTTCTCAATAAATAACCAGCTATCAATGGATTTAATAGTATTATGCTGAAGTAGGTTTACTTTTGAACTTAGTTCATAATAATTTGTGTTTTACAAATTCATCTCACCCACATTAATATGTTAATGATGGTCCATAGTCATGCTATCATAAAGAGATAGCCGTAAGCACAGTAATTACACTTAGTGATCATAGTTTCTGATCAGTCCTCATCAGAAAACATTTAGCAAGTAACCTAATGATGCTTAACATGCTTAACACTAAGTAATTGACTTAAAAGTTTTAAAAGTCCTCTTTGGAATTCTCAAAAGCCACTTGAAATTCAAATCTCTCCCTGTTTATTTAGTTTGCATCTTTGTTTTTCAAAATATCTACAGTGAAATTCAGAATTCTGATTATTACTGTAGAAGTAAATATGTAAATGATGCTTAGTTCCACTCCAGGAATTATTACTAGGAAGGCTGAAATATGGGCCATTTTGTTATTCCTCTGAGCTCAGAAATTTTAAAGCAAAGGAAATAATTTTTGAGTGGATCAAGAATTAAATAGCAATTGTATATTCTTTTAATTCTCACATCAGCCTAACTAGATAGACAGTCATAGGATTCAAACCCAGATCCTTTGTTCTTTCTGCTTTTCCAGACTGCTTTTCTGAAGTCATGCCTTCTGAGTTTTAAACAGTAGACTTACCAATGAAATTTGAACACAGGCACATTCATAAATTGGAGACCTTCCAAATCAGTAGAGAGGTAATATAGCATATAGCATAGTTGATAAGCACGGATTAAAGAACCAAACTGCCTAGATTCAACTCACTTACTAGCTGATGACCTGCTACAAAATCTCTTTGTATCTTGAATGTCTTGTTATCTTTGACCTGTATGATAATAGCTCTCTTTTAATAGAATTGTTATAAAGATTAGTTAATTAACACCATACACCAAAAATAGTATATGTAACACTGAGACATCAAGGTGATATGATTGTATGAGATTTGAGTATGTGATTGTGTGTGTGAAAATTTGAAATCTCTGTCATAGTCTGTCATACTTTTAGGCAACATTCCATTTTAGTAGTTTAGTATCCTAAAGAAGACAATAAATCAGTGCACATATTTTATAATTTTTGTTTACTAGA